GTGGAAATTGTAGGGTCACTTATGTATAATGTTATATCATGTGCAAATAAAGATACTTTGACTCTTTCCCCTCCAATTTGTATCCTTTTGATCTCCTTTGCTTGTCTTATTGTTTTACCTAAGACTTCAATAACCATATTGAATAGGTATGGAGAGAGTGGGCAACCTTGTCTTTTATCTGATTTTAGTGGATTTGCTTTGAGTTTTCCTCTATTTAAATTGATGCTGTCTATGGCTTTCTGTAAACTGCCTTTAGTGTGTTGAGTATGTCCCTTGAATCCCTAATCTCTTCAGGACACTGACTATGATGAGGTGTTGGATTCTGACAAAGGACTTTTTTGCATCTAATGAGTTGATCATGCTGTTTTTGTCTTTTAGCTTATTTATGTTGGATTACAGTTTTTTGTATATGTATGTTAAACCATCTATACATTTATGGGATTATAGTAGATCTTTCTTTGGACCACTGGCTTCCAAATAATGACAAGGAGTCTTATTCTTAAATATGAAAGCTTGGTTTTAGCTTGTGCTTGTTCCCAGGTAGTTTTTATAACTTAAATTAACTCATTTATATTAATCTACATTCCGCCACATGGCTCATTATCTCTCCTCAGTACAGTGTGTCCCAATTTCTCTGCAGCTGGCGGGTGAATCCCTGCCTCTCAGATTCTTCTTCCAAGTTCTTCTCTGTTCCCAAAAGTCCCATAAATTCTCTCCTGCTTAGATATTAACCATTCAGCTCTTTATAAAACAAATCAGAAGGTGCCTTGGTAGAGACATATCTTCACAGTATACAAAAAGATTATCCCACAACATGGGATGAAGCCTACTTGATCATGGTAGATGAATTTTTAATGTGTTGTTTGGTTGATTTCTTTCACAAGTTTTTTTTAGTGCTTTTGCCTCCATTTTTTTGAAATTCTCTTCCATTTGGGAATCTTTATGGTGTTTGTATATCGGAATAAGTGGGTCCCTAACATATGAAATGGACAATGTTCATTATCTTTCTGTTTTCTGGAATAATTTGAGGAGTATTTGCATTAACTCTTATTTGAAAGCATGGTAGTAATCTGTGCAAAAACAACTCGTCTGGACTTTTATTTTGTAGAAAGACTTCTTATGACAGCTTCCTTTTGACTGTGGATGATTGGTCCATTTAAATTGCTTAACTGCTCTTAATTTAATCTTGGTAAGTGGTATCTACTAAGGAAATTATCCATTTTTTGAGATTTTTATAATATACAACACAGGTTTTAAAGTATGTCCCTATGATTCACTGGATTTCTTCTAGGTCTGTTGTATGTCCCATTTTCATTTTTAATTGTGTTAATTTGATTTTTTTCTCTCTGCCTTTTCATTACTTTGGATAAGATTTTGTCAATCTCACTGATTTTCTGACAGAACTCTTTCTTTCTTTCTTTGACTCTTTGTATCTTTTAATTTGTTTCTATTCATTGATTTCAAATGTGATTTTCATTAATTCTTACTGTCTACTCCTAATATGTGAGTACTTTTTGTTCCAGAGCCTTTAGGTGTCTTGTTAATTTGATAATATGTGATAGATTCATTTTTTTAAATTTTGTGATCCCTTTGTGCTGCAAACTTGCCTCTTAGAATAGCCTTCATCTTGCCCCACAAGTTTGGATATATTTTATATTAATTTTCATTCAATTTTAGAAAATCTTTAATTTCTGTCTTGACCCATTTTTGATTCAGTAGGTAGGTTTTTGGTTTCCATAAGATTGTAAGCTTTCTGCTCTTGCTTATATCTAGCTTTAGTCTGTGGTGACCAGATAGACTGCAGGATGCTATTTACGTTTTCTTGCATCTGATGATAATCTGTTGTTTTGGACCCTGGTATGTGGCCAATTTTGGAGAAAATTTCATGAGGTGGTGAGAAAAAAGTATATTCTTTTGTGTTTGGTGAAATGTTCCATAAATATCTGTTAGGTCCATTTGTTTATAATGTCAGATAACACCCACATTTTTCTGTTTAGTTGTATCTGGATAACCTGTCTAATTAGTAAGAGTGAGTTATTGAAGTCTCCAATTATCAGTGTGTATGAGGATCAATATGTAATATAAGCTGTAGTAGTGTTTTTTGTTATATTTTGCTATTTAAACAAAATTCACTGCCCTTGTGTTTGGGACATAGATTTTGAGAATTACAATGTCTTCTCTGTAGACTTTTTTCCCCTTTGGTAAACATATAGTGTCCTTCCTTATATCTTCTAATTAGGTTGGAAGTCTGTTTTATCAGATATTAAAATAGTTACATCAGCTTGTTATTTAGGTCTGTTTATTGGAATATATTTTTCTAATTCTTTACCATGAGGAGATATTTTTCCTTGGTGCTATGGTATGGTTTTATCATGCAAAAGAAGGATGAATTCTGTTTTTTAATTAATTCTATTAGTGTGTGTTTGTTGTTGGGGAATAGATACCATTGATGGTAATAGATATCGCTGAGTAATGATTGTTGATTCCTGTTATTTTCTTTTTGCATCTAACCCCAGCACCTTCTCTCAGCCAACACATGTTGGATACTTTACTCCCAAAATGAAATGAAATGTGAAACACTACCCCTAGTGCCTATAACCTCAGCTGATATATCTTGGGACCAAAGATTACATATACTATGGAAGAGTGGTGATCAATTTGGCTATACCATCACCAAATGTCCCCCAAACTAATGAGAAGAACAGTTAACCTGAGAGAACCTTAAGTAAAAATCTAACCTCATTTCCAATATTAGGGGTTGAAGAGAAGGTTAGGGAGCTTTCATTGCCTTCCTGTTCTGCTTTCCCCTTGACTCTAAGCCCAGCCACGTGACTTGCTCATCACTGCCTGTCTATACAGACCTCCAGGTCTCTATGGTTGGTAGTGAGATTAAAGGCTCATGTCTCCATGCTTGGCTATGTCCTTGACCACACAGAGAGAGACTCTGCCTGCATGGGCTACCACTGCCTGACTTCTGTTTATGCCTTGCTGACCTGTGATCTGCAGGCAAACTTTATTAACATACAAATAAAATGTCACATTTCAGCACAAATAAAGTATCACCACATATTTTCATGCATCTTTTTACTCTAAGGTGGTATTCGTTTCTAAAACTAACACTTTTTGTAGAAAATAGAGATAGCTTTTGTTTCTGGATCCATGAAGCTCCTCAGTCTTTTTATTAGAGAGAAGCCGTTAATAATTAGAGTTACTAATTAAAATCCTATCTTGATTGCAGTAATTTTTGTTGGGTTTTTGTTTGTTTCTTTGCTGTTTATGGTCTTATTATACTTTGTATTTCAATAATTATTGGTTCATTTGTTTTATTTCTACAGCCTTTCGACTGTGCTTACAACTTTACTCGTTCTGAAGTACTGCTTCCTTTATTCTATTTGGGGCTGTTGTGGTTCACTGGAATTCATTAAGCCACTTTGTTTTATCGAATTTTCCTTTCTTCTTCAACTGAGTCAGGTATTTTTGCTGAACATAGTAGTCTAGGTGGCAAGTCATATTATTTTGAACACTGGAGTACATTACTCCTGGCCCTTCTGGCTTTTGACTTCCTTTAATATTGAAGCTGTTATTATGTTTGATTTTTCTTCATATGTGACTTTTTTTTCTCTTAAGGCTTTCCTTGTTCTGCATATTTAGTGTTTTAACTATGACATGCCACAGGAATTTTTCTGCTTCTGTCATTATGTGCTCTGTGTGTTTCTTGTGCTTGTTTGGTTATGTCTTTACTTAGCTTGTGAAAGTTTCATCAATAACTTGGTTGAAGATACAGTCTGTGTTAATGACTGAAGATTCACCTTTATGTTCTTGATCAATTATTCCTATAATTTGCACATTTGAGCTTTCCATAGTTTCTCATTCCTTTAATATGTCTGTATTTCAAATGTTTTCATATGTGTGTATTTTCTGTTCCCTCTACTTTGTTTTTAAGTCCTGATATTTCATCCATTCTATTTGTAAAGATTTAGGTTCTATCATCATTTTAGTTTTAATTCCCTTCCATACTTTTTCTTTATTGAATTCAGTTTTTACATTCTAGGTTTTCTTTATCATTTTATTTAGCTATATGCTTGTGTTTTCTTAGGCATCACTACCGAGTTTCTTGCTGCTCTTGTTACTAAACAGTTCATTGTTTTCCAATGTTTGTTCCTTGTGTAGACTCCTTGATTTCTTTGATGAAGTTTATTGTTTCTTTATGTTATATGTCTTAGGTTGATTTAGGCAGTTCTCTATGGTGATATTTTATTTGTATTAAAATGTTATTTGTATGTTAATAAATAAAGTTGCCCGGGGGTCAGAGCTATTAGCAAGCCATAGGAAAGCAGGGCAGTGGTAGCGTACGCTTGTAATTCCAGCACTTAGTAGGCAGAGCTGGGTAAGTCTCTGTGTGTTCAGGGATACAGCCATTATTGGATACACATGCCTTTAATCTTAATACCAATCATGGAAAACCTGGAGGCCTATACAGACAGGCTGTGAGGAGGCGGTCATGTGGTTGGGTTTACAACCAATGAGAAGGCAGGACAGGAACTCTATATAAAGACTTTAACACAGGGGTAGCTCTGGTTCGGAGAGGTAGGACCACTGCAGGAGGAAGGGTAAGGTTTTGGCTCTTAGCTCTGACCTCTTGGCTTTCTTCTTTGCATTGGTTCTGTGTTTATTGTTTGATGGGAAGGTTGGATACGTCTACATTTGGCGCCCAACGTGACAAGAATTCATTAAAAACCGATTGGCTTGGCTTGGCGGCAGGTCCGGTTTCCAGCCTGGGCAGCCCGGCTGCCTAGCTTGGGCCCAGGCCTGACTGACCCGCAGCTGGAACTGCTACAAACAACTCAGACCTGCCCCGCTGAACAGGGCCCCTGCCTGTAAAGCCAAGGCTTGACTCGACTCAAGCGGCTACACTTTTCTCTCTCTCTCTCTCTCTCTCTCTCTCTCTCTCTCTCTCTCTCTCTCTCTCTCGCTCGCTGGATTCACACCTCGAACACCAGGTGGCTGTGAAATTCCCTGGGATTCTACTGTTCTACCCAGACTTGGTAAGTCAATTAACATATCTATTTAAAAGAGAATTTTTTTCTACATTAAAAAAAAAAATGGGCTTTATGTGTACATTGGAAGAAAATTGGGCTTTGTTTGAAATTTTAGGCACTCTGACAATGGAACAACTATATGAAAAGATTAATATTGATCGAATTATTCAGTTTATTACTTTTCTTATCCTCATTTTACTATTTAAAAAGATCGTCAACTTAAGTGCCAGGATAACAGTCTTAGAAAAACTTGTTAAACCGGTAAAAATGAATTATAGAGAAATTCAAATTCAAACAGAAGAAATAAATAGTGAAGTTGTTTCAAAATTGGATCGTAAGGTTACAGAAAGAAAGCCAGTTTTCACACAATCACCCTTAATTTATCCAGTAGCCGTACAGCAGCTACCTGATGAAGAGAATGAACAAAATACTTGGGTTCCAGTTGAAATGTTAGACTTACGAAGATTTAAGGAGGCAATAGCATCTTATGGCATGCACTCCCCATATGTAAAGCAAATGTTAAACACCTGGTCAACTTGTAATAGGATTATACCAAAGGACTGGCGGGAATTGGCACAGGCTGTTCTTGAACCCGGACAAAATCTCCAGTGGAAAATGTGGTTCAGTAATGAGGCTAAAAATATAGAAAGACAATGGAGGGATAGCGGAATACAAGTCTGCCAGGATCAGCTTATTGGCGAAGGTCAATATGCTTCAGTACAAACACAATGTTCATATGATGTCCAAACCCTACTTCTATGTAAAACGGCAGCTTTGAATGCATGGGACAGAGTTGAAGAACCAGGAAAAAAAACTGAGTCATTTACAAAGGTTATACAGGGCCCCAAAGAATCTTTCACAGACTTCTTACAAAGATTGACTTCAGCAGTACAAAAAATGGTCCCGAATTCAGAGGCTAGTCAGATAATAATTGAATCTTTAGCCTTTGAGAATGCAAATGCAGCGTGTAAAAGAATAATTAGGCCGTTAAAGGCAAGATCTGCACCTTTGGAAGATTGGATTAGAGATACAGTTAATGTAGAGGCTTATGACCATGATGATATATGGGTAGGAAAAGCAATTTCAAAAGGTTTGAGCAATGTTAGATGTTTTGGATGTGGAAAGCAAGGACATTTGAAAAGGGATTGTAAACAGGTCATTCCTAGAAATAATGTTTATTCAAGGAACACTGGCAACAGAATGCCCCTTCCTTCTGGAGTATGCAGAAGGTGTGGTAAGGGAAAACACTGGACTAACGAATGTAGATCAACAAGGGACAGACAGGGTAACCCTCTGCCTCGACCTTCGGGAAACTCCCAGAGGGGCCTCAGGCAGGCCCCCACAGTAAATCCAGTTCAAACCTTTCCTGCAGTTGTAGAGGAAACCCCTACTCAAAGCAACTAAATAACCAAATGTCTATTGGAATAAATCATGTTAGTCGAGATGATGAAACAGAGAAAATAGGAAATACAGGAAAAAACATAAAGAAAATTTTTTGGCAAACTTCTATTAATGAACAAAGACCAAAACTAACAATAAAAATAAATGGTGTTTTGTTATCTGGTCTGGTAGACACAGGTGCTGACATTACCATAATTGCACCAGAATTTTGGCATCCAACTTGGCCTCTTCAGGAGGTAAACATTCAACTCTTAGGAATTGGGACATTATCTGGAGTGAAACAAAGTGTAAGATGGCTTGAATGTATAGGTCCAGAAGGACAGAAAGGAAAATTAAAACCATATATGGCTAACATAGCTATGAACCTGTGGGGTCGAGACTTGTTACAACAGTGGAATACTCAGATTAATATCCCTCCAATCTCAGAAACAAATCATAAATTAGTACATGTTTCTGAGAGAAATATTAAAAGATATTATTCTAATGAGTGCTCACCAGCCATCCATGTCATACAAGAACAGGGCACAACAACTGATAATCTTCCAAAAACATTAACAGCTCTACCTTTAAAATGGTCAACAGACAAGCCTGTATGGGTTCAGCAATGGCCTTTAACAACAGAGAAACTCCAGGCTTTACAAGAGCTGGTGGAAGAACAGTTAAATGCTCATCATATTGAAGAATCAACCAGCCCTTGGAATTCTCCTGTATTTGTTATAAAAAAAAAATCTGGTAAATGGAGAATGGTAACAGACCTTAGAGCAATTAACAAAGTAATTCAGCCAATGGGCTCTTTACAATCTGGAATTCCTTTACCTACTCTGTTACCAAAAGGCTGGCCTCTCATAGTTATTGATTTAAAAGACTGTTTCTTTTCAATACCCTTACAAGAAAAAGACAGAGAAAGATTTGCTTTCACAGTGCCTACTTATAATAATTCTCAACCGGTTAAAAGATTTCAATGGAGGGTTCTCCCACAGGGAATGTTGAATAGCCCAACTTTGTGCCAATATTTTGTAAAACAGCCATTAGAAGTGGTACGTAAAAAATTTCCTAAATCTATAATTTATCATTATATGGATGACATTTTATTAGCTGATTCAAATGCAGATACTTTAGAAAGAATGTTTGAAAAAGTAAAGAAAATTTTGCCTTGCTGGGGATTACAAATTGCTTTAGAAAAGGTACAAAGAGGAGATTCTATTAATTATTTAGGATATAAAATAGAACTTCAAAAAATTAGACCTCAAAAAGTGCAAATTAGGAGAGATCGACTACAGACTCTTAATGACTTTCAAAGATTATTTGGAGACATTTCTCATCTAAGAACTATTGTTGGGGTAAAAAATGATGAACTGAATAATTTGTTTAAAACCTTAGAAGGTGATAAGGACTTAAATAGTCCAAGAGAATTATCACCTGAAGCTGAGAAAGAATTGGCCTTGGTAGAAAAGAAAGTACATGAAGGGCACGTAGATCGTATTGATCCAAAGCTGGATTGCATTTTGGTTATTTTACCTTCTAGGCATTCCCCAACAGGAATATTAATGCAAAGGGAAGATATTATATTGGAATGGATATTTTTACCAAATAAACCAAATAAAAAATTAAAAACTTATGTTGAAAAAATCTCTGACTTGATTTGGAAAGGAAAATTGAGACTTCGTCAATTAGCAGGAATAGACCCAGCAGAAATTGTCGTACCTTTAACTAAGGAGGACATTGAAAAATTATGGATAGAAAATGAAGCTTGGCAAAAAGCTTGTAGTAATTTTTTGGGAGAAATTAACAGCAAATATCCCAAAAGCAATAGAATTGATCTTATAAAGAGAGCTGATTGGATCTTGCCTCGAATTGTGAGGAAAAAACCCATATCTGGAGTTCGTACATTTTATACAGATGCCAACAAACAAGGAAAGGCAGGTTACAAATCAGAAAATTTAAGTAAAGTGGTTCAAAGTCCTTATAATTCAGTTCAAAAATCAGAATTGTATGCTATTCTGTTGGTATTAATGGATTTTTCAGAACCTCTCAATATAGTAACTGACTCTCAGTATGCTGAAAGAGTAGTATTACATATTGAGACTGCAGAATTTATCCACGATGCTTCAGAATTAACTTCATTATTTATTCAATTACAAGATACAATCAGAAAACGGAGTCATCCTTTATATATAACTCACATCCGATCCCATACTGGTCTGCCAGGCCCTCTAGCACAAGGCAATGATGAGATTGATAAATTATTGATAGGAAATGTGCTGGAGGCCTCAGAATTTCATAAAAAACATCATGTAAATAGTAAAGGTTTAAAAAAGGATTTTTCCATAACCTGGCAACAAGCCAAAGAAATAGTAAAGAAATGTCCTACTTGTTCCTTCTACAATCAAACACCATTACCAGCAGGATGTAACCCAAAGGGTACTCAGAGGAATGAAATCTGGCAGATGGACGTGTTTCACTTTGCAGAATTTGGAAAACTGAAATATGTACACCACACTATCGATACTTATTCAGGATTTCAATGGGCAACTGCTTTGAGTTCTGAAAAAGCTGATTCTGTAATCACTCATTTGCTAGAAGTTATGGCCATTATGGGTATACCTGCACAAATCAAAACTGATAATGCTCCATCATATGTCTCTGTTAAAATGAAACAGTTTTTTGCTTATTATAATATAAACCATGTTACAGGTATACCACATAATCCTACAGGTCAAGCAGTTATAGAAAGATCAAACAGAACTCTAAAGGATATGCTAAATAAACAAAAAGGAGTAACAAAAACCCCCAGAAATAGACTACATAATGCTCTATTAACTTTGAATTTTCTCAATGCCAATGAGAAAGGAACAACAGCTGCAGAGAGACATTGGATAATAGAAAAAACTACAGAATTAAATCAACCTATATACTTTAAGGATGTGCTGACCTCAGAATGGAAACCAGGGTATGTGTTACGTTGGGGACGAGGTTTTGCTTTTATTTCTACAGGAGAAGATAAGCTGTGGCTACCATCAAAATTGATAAAGGTTCGATTTGAACAAGAGAGACCTCTTAATTAGAGGAGGTGATAGTTCATCAACTATCGTAAACATCCAATTTAAACTAACTTACACCAGTAACACATGCCTTTTCATTTAATCAGATAACTTGTCAAAAAGGAACATCCCCAAAAAACCTTGGGGAAAGGTTTTTGTTTTTGTCTTTTAGGAGAATGAAGGTTAACGAATTTGAAGAACACTGGACAAATGAGACAACTGAAGAAAAGGAACAAATCATCTATCCTAAGAAACAGAGTGAAATGGCGTATGGGTATGTTATCTAAAAAAATTTTATGTCTTCCTAAATGTTTGTTTCTGCTTTTCTTTAAAGATTTAACACTATTTAACTTCTAATAGTCCCAGTTCAATTAAAATTTAAAGCTGACTTTGGAGTTGGAGAATGGCTCTCTCCTTCTTTAAACTCAAGCATGTTGTTAAAAGGAAAATGCAAACTCCCTGTATCATGCCAGAGGAAAAGAGCCATCTTCTGCTATGGGACAGGAGAAAAGCCAAATTAATTAAGGGACTATTCTATTACGAATCTCAACTCTTTGATTCTAT